CGCGGCGCCGGGCCACCAGAGATCTCATACAGCTTCTCGGACATTTCATGGAGAATCTGATCTGCCCGAGTGAGGGCCTCGGATGATCCAGAGGCGAAGATGGTAAGTGTGCCATTGGCGGCTCGAACTGTGCCGCCAGACACGGGGCAGTCGACAACGAGGATGTCTGATCGGCCGAGTTGGGCTATTTGAGACGCTAGTGTGTCGTAATATGCTGGCGGGACTGTCGAGCACAGCAAGATGGTCGCATTGTGTGGCAGGGCTGGTTCGTGTGAGTGGCTCGTTGCAGATGAACGGAGGGAGAATCCCAGTACTCACCCTCGAGGGCGCCAGTCGCCGCGTCGAACAAAATACTGTCGACCTGCTGCGCATTGGCGGCCATGCAGACGAGGAACGCGCTATCGTGGGCAACATCTCGAGGCGACTGGCCTGGATGCCCGCCATCGGCCACGAACCTCTCGACGCTCGGCTGCCAGACGTCGTATCCCTTGACTATGTACTTTCCACCCTTCTGCAGGTTGCAGGCCATGCCGAAGCCCATGGCGCCGAGGCCAACGAACCCGACTGACGTCGACATGAGGCTGGTACCAGACTGTTGGGCCATTGTGTCGTCAGGTTGGCTGTTTGAGAAGTGAAGCTTTGGGGGCGTACGACAGGTCAAGGAACAGACATGGCGAAATTCCGTCTTATAGGTAGGCCATGAGTCCATCATGGCCCCTCTGCCGCATCGCCCCCGGCCGAGTCCAAAAAGCCGATCGTTTCTCCTCCGCCATGCACTTGTGCTGGCCGCCCGAACCGGAAGCGTCCTCGAGGATCGAAAAACCCACCACGAATGGACCGCGAATGGGTTGACTGGTTGGCCTGAACAACCAAAAGCCATGACTCGCGACCACCAGGGGGCTAGCGAAGTCTCGCCCACCCCGCAATTGTGCGGTCTGAAGTCCGCTCAGCTTATATAGAGGGTCTGCCCATCTGCGACGCGGGCAGAACTGCTATCCCTTCGCCGGTGTTCCCCCCGCCGCCTGTTCGTCCTGCTTTCTTCTCCAGCCGATCAACCCCAGCTTTCGGTCTTCTGCCCGTCTGGGGAGAACTTCAGGCCTCTGCATAACCTTTTTTCTGTTCTCCATCTTTGCCTCCGGCCGCTAAGCCGTTCAGGATGAAGAGGGCGCGGATCGAGGAGCCTGTCGCGTCGAGCAGCAGTGGACAAGGCAGCGGTTCGAGTGCCGTTCCCAGCGGCCGGGGCAGCACCTCGGAGCCGCACGTCCACCAATCCAAGATCTCTCGAAAGATCCGCGCCTGTGAGTTTGCCATCCCCCCGCAAGATCCCTTTCGAGCCGTGATGTGGTGATCTGTTCCATCCGGTGGCCCATGTCTCACGTCTTACGTGCCGATGGCTGCTTGCCTCGGTTCACAGACCCATGTCCATCCATGTTCATGCCTCTGTTCACCCCCTCACCATCTGCCCACCCTACCATTGCGGCGCATGATTCTGATTCATCACAGGTCAACAATGTCAGAATCGCAAAATCAAATGTGACATTGAGCAGGGGCAGTCGCGATGTGCACGTTGCACTCGCATGGGACTAGAATGCGTCATCAACAAGAGCCTGCAGACCCTCCTCGATGACGAGAATCAGTGGAAGAAGGAGATGGAGCAGCAGCTGCGTTCTCTTCAAGCTGCCATGTCCCAGGTCCAAAGGATGCTCAACATCCCGCCGCCAAATCCGCAGCATCAGCAGCATCAGCAGCTGCCACAACAACAACAGCAGCAGCAGCAGCACCTCCATGACATCCCTTCCGTCGGCAGCGGCGCCACTCACTCATCAGCCTTTGACAATAGCCCAAGTCTTTCAGGCATGCACGGCAGCCCCGCGGGACCGTCACCGAGCCGGCCGCCTGAGATCACAGCTATGACTCGGGAAAACTCGCCCGAGACTGCTCACCCGCGCATCAAGGAGGATCAGGCCATCGTTGATGCCCCGATGGCCAGCCTATTTGAGGTGACAAAGCTGCGCAACATACGTAGTGACCCTGGGTCACGCGCCGACGCACTTCTCGCCGCTCGCCGCTCGGGCGAGCCAGACTTCATCGCGCAGGGGCGGGTACCTCTCGCCGAAGCCGAGCAGCTGTTTGCCAGGTTCCGCGGGACGCTAAATGCATACCTCTGGGGAGGCGTTGCCCTTCTGCACGACAACCTGCTTTCGGCGCGGCAATCATCTCCACTGCTCGTGGCCGCCATTCTCGCCGTCACGGCGCTGCACGCCCAAGACGAGGGGGTAAGCTTTGACCGGTGCTATCCCGTCTTTCTTGACCTCGCCAGCCAGTGCATGTTCCAGCGGTACCACACGCTCGACGACGTTCGCGGCCTTTGCATCGGTGCATTCTGGCTGTCTGACGTCAGCTGGAAGCTATCAGGCCTGGCCGTGCGCATTGCGACTGAGCTCAACCTGCACCAGTTCTGCGCCAAGGCGCTTCGAGATGAGCCGGATCACGTCGAGAAGGCGAGGCTCTGGTACTTTCTCTACGTATGTGACCATCACTTTAGCATTGCCTATGGGCGCCCGCCTGTGATACCCGAGGACGTGACCATATCGCGGCACGAGTCATTCCTGCAGTTGCCGGGCATCAGGCAGGCAGACTTTCGCCTGCACAGCCAGGTAGCCATCTTTGTGATCCTCAGCCGCGCGTACCATACCTTCGGGCCCGACCGCTCGAGACTCGTAGCCAACGACGAGTTTGAGGCACTGCGGCGCTATGAGTCGGATATGGGCCATTGGCGGCGTATGTGGGAGCCTAGGCTGGGTACGTTTTCTACGTCTCGTGAGTAGATTGCTTGTGCCGTGAAAGAATGCTAACTTGGTACTAGTGCCGGATCCCAATATTTCGCAGTACCCTGCCAAGGGCGTGAAATTGCACTATCACTTTGCTCGGTTACAGATCTTCTCCGTCTGTCTTCGCGGGCTCACACCGACGGACCAGTTTCTCATGTCGCCTGAACGGCGGAGCTTCATCGACTCGGCCATCAGCAGTGCCTCGGCGGCGCTGCGGCTCATCCTCAATGACCCTGACATGCGGCGGGCCGTCATCGGCGTGCCGTTGTATCTGCTGACGGCCATGGCCTATGCCGCCATATTCCTGATGAAGGTGCAATCCGAGTGGAAGGCGGCTGAGTTCAACATCAGCTTCTCCGAGGTAGTGACGCTGATTGAGGCGACGGTCAGTCTGCTCAACGACTCGCAGGCGTGCGTCAGGCACGTAGCGCACTTCCTCGGCAAGGGGCTCAACACGATGCTGGAGAAGTTCAAGGAGAGGGAGGCCATGCTTCAGGCGCAAGCCCAGCAACAGCAGAACGAGCAATTTGTGCAGCAACAGGGATGGGCGGCGCAGGATGCGCAGCAGGGCTGGAACAACTGGATGCTCGGCGGCGCTCCGGAGGTAGAGCCTTTTGGGATCGGCGCGGAGTACTACCCGCTCGGGATACTGGACGTGCTGGGCTCGCAGATGCCCGGCTGAGCTCTCGTGAGCGTTACGCGAGACGACTCGGTGGCATGCGTGACGGGATCACTGATCTTGGATGTACAACTATGACCAGTATGGGACGATGGAGGCTATTTTTCGTGGTGGTAATGAGTGGTTCGGGGTTGATGCCGCGTTGGGGATGATACCAAGAGGGAGAATAATGATGATGCCTGCTCGGCTACACAATTGCGCAGCAGAAACGAGCCCGAGATCTAGCAGATCCCATGGTCCGGACATGACGCTTGTGATATTCACAGCAACCCATACGAGCATGCTGCTCACGTTTCGGCTAAGCGCCACGAGGCCCAAGACGTCGAGAATCTGGGGAAAGCAGTGTCTCGACGAATCGGACAGAAGGCCGCCTTCAGAATCGCGGACAGATGTCCGCTTCCATGCTCACACGGCACTTGAGAGAACAAACCGAAGGGGGCAGGCATTCTGCTCATAGGCTTCGCTAGGAGGCTCTAGGGGAAGAGGAGCCGGGGGCTTGCCCACAGCGCAGATCCCAGCTTTCCAGGTGCAGTGTTTGGCGTTCGTCTCCCGTTGCCCCCAGCTCAGAAGTCTTCTAGCTCGGATTTTAGGGGGGTGGGAGCGGAAGTCAGACCAGGTTCATGACTTGTGTCGCTCTCTACCGTCATCTGTGACTAGAGGAACCCAAATCCCCACGGGGAGGGGGGTGGGAGCAGCGCCAGAGCAGTGCGAAAGCAACGCTACGCAAAGCTGTGAGAACGCGGGGGAAACCGGTCTAGCGGCCCATCCATGGGCAAAGATCGCAAAGACGCGAATCTATATCTTTGCACGGTTCTGCTGTCTAGTTCTGGGGTTCTTGGACTCCTCGCCACTCCATCGACATCATCGTCTGCCGACAATTGAGGATCAACAACATCGACAGCCAAACGTGGGGAACCCTCTGTGACTCTGCTACCGATCGAGTCGACCCGGACCACCGACTCTCCCTCGTCAATCGTACGACTCGCGCGAGTGCGACCTTTCCCTCTCCCCATCTTTCCTCCTCCTCCCCATCGAGCGACCGATTGAGCCAGATTCATCAGCAATCAATTATCATGGCTGCCGACCTCGACAAGGAGCAGGTCTCGGCCAAGGAGCATCAGACTCCCAACACGGGCTCGCTCGACCCTGAGCTTGCTGAGGCCATCCGCAACTTTGTTCCTGGCACGAGCGAGGAGAAGAAGCTCGTCAAGAAGATTGATCTCTTCCTGATGCCTATGCTTTGGATCATGTACATTCTCAACTATATTGATCGCACGAACATCGTGAGTCTTGCTTCCTCGCTTCCGCTGTTGAGATTTTTTTTTTCTTTCTTCATCCATTCGATCACCCCTTTTGCACGGATCACTTCCTGGACCATCCACGCCGACTCTGGATACAACCTTTGCTAACCTGTACAGGGCAATGCCAAGATCGCGGGAATGGGCGACGACCTGGCGCTGGATGACAATGAGTACGCCTGGGTGCTGTCCATCTTCTTCTTCGGCTACCTCATCTGCGAGATCCCCTCCAACATGATCCTCAGCCGCACAGCGCCGAGTATCTTCCTCCCGGGCATCATGTTCATCTGGGGCGGCCTCTGCGCCGCCATGGCCGTCGTCACCAACTACGGCGGACTTCTGGGCTTCCGCTTCGTCCTCGGCTGCGTCGAGGCCGGTTCTCCCCTGGTGTCCTGTACCTGCTGTCGTGCTGGTACACAAAAGACCGAGCTCGGCAAGCGCTTCGCCATCTTCTATACGGCTGCTGTCCTCTCGGGCGCCTTTGGCGGCCTCCTCGCCGATGCCATCACCTCGAACCTCGACGGCGCCCACGGCATCGCTGGCTGGCGCTGGCTCTTCATCATTGAGGGTGTTGCGACCGTCGGCGTCGCTGTCATTGCCTACTTTGTCCTGCTCGACTATCCCTCAACCTCGAAGCGCTTGACGCCCGCGGAGCGGCAAATAGCCCACGTCCGTATCATTGCCGACTCGATCGCCCAGAACGGCGCCTCTAGCAACCGCCTCAGCCACTGGCAGGCGTTCGTCGCCGCCGTCTCCGATCCGCGGACCTACATGTTCCTCGTCCTCTTCATGCTCGACGTCGGCGCCGGCACTATCTCCTACTTCATCCCCACCATCACCGTCACCCTCGGCTACGACACGACGACGGCCCAATACATGACGGTGCCCGTGTACGCCGTCGCCGCCGTGGTGCTCAACATCGTCGCCTGGTCGTCAGACCGCCACGTCGAGCGCCGCTTCCACATCGCCGGCGCCCTCGCCCTCGGCTGCGCGTGCGCCATCGTCTGCGCCGCCGTCCAGACGCCCATGGTCCGTTACGTCATGCTCTGCTTCGTCGCCGCCGGCATCTGGTCCGCCCTGCCGCTGATCCTGTCCTGGACGAGCGGCACCGTCTGCATGCCGCCCGAGAAGCGCGCCATCGTGCTCGCCATGGTCAACGCCTTTGGCAACTTCTCCTCCGTCTACGGCAGCCGCATCTGGCCCTCGACCGACAAGCCCGCCTACCACGTCGGCTGGGGTGTCACGGCCGCCTTCCTCGGCAGCGGCATGCTCCTGGCCCTCGTGCTGCCCATCCTGTGCAACCTGGTCAACTGGAAGGGCACTAAGGCCGAGAGGGAGCTTCTCGAGGGGCGTGCTGAGGACGACGCGTCTGCCTAGACTGAATAGTGGAAAGGGGGGGGGGGGGGGTTGATGAATCGGGTCTAGAAGGCTTTGAGAGAGTACATAAAACTTGTTTAAAATTGGCTGGAGGCGGGGAGCGGCATTATAACAGAGTTTGTCTTGCTCGATGGATGATTTGCCCACCTTGCCCTTTTTCGGTGATGAAGCGACAACTGCGCCCAGCCTCTTCCGTCTTTCGGATGATTTGAAGAAGTTGACTAATGCCAAGATAATGACAGGCGGGGAGGCTAAGGTGATTTAGGTAAAGCGAACCGGGCAGACCTGCCGAAGGGGGTCGTTGGGTCTGGTCAACGCCTTTGTGTGTGTGATGAGTGGTCAGGGTCGGGACAATGGCGTTGCGGGTTCTGCACTTGAGTTCCATACCATGAGGATCTACGATGCGTGGCGTTCTTTGTTTTCATGGTAGTTGCAGGTCGTGAACGCTTCAGATGGCGGTTTGGCTTGGTGGAGTGTTGGTTGGCTTGAACGCCACTGTTTGGGCTGCTATGGTTCAAACTGGGGATGCTGCCTCATCGTGTTTCGATATGGTTGTTTGCTCTTCAAGAAATAACATCTCTCTCCGCGAATCTCTTCACCAGAGTGTTTTCTCAGTGGTAAAGACCGATTCGCTGTCATCAGTAGACCTCTTCTTGTTGTCGACAAACACTTCACCTCGTGTTTATTCCTCTTCGCGACTTGCCTGCTGGTCCAATAAGCTCACTTCTTTATTGTCTTCGAACTTATACTTCAAGCACAGCGTGTCCCAAACTTTCCGCTTAATCTGCGGCTCCATGAGTGAGTTGAGTATTGTCGGCGGCTCCCCGATCCGTGGCCTTCCTCCTTCCAAGCTTGTGCCATTGAAGGGCTGCATCAGACGTAACAAACCCGAACCGGAAGCGAAGCGAAAAAGGCAGGATGAGGCAAGAGACGAAGACTCTACCCGGAAGCGCATCCTTTTCGATCTTGCTCAAATCCGTCCCGTTGAATCTCACGAGGATCATCAACCATCATCTCTACCGGGGTGCCCGGGCGCGCGCTGCTCTTGAGTGGGAGGATATGGAATATGTTCGACTCTGTCGTGGAAAGATGCTTGCCGGCGCGCTGAGCATGGGCGAGGAGTCGTTGCTGGCTGTCTTTTGAGAATCAGTGGAAGGACAATGGATGCAAGATACGTAAAAGAGAGTGTTTGGACATGACGCGTGCGGACATGACGTTCCAGACCTGACGCGTCATCGGGGGATCTAAACTCTGTATCCGAGGCACCTTGAATCCAAATGGAATCTTACGCAGTCACTTCGGGACAGTGGACCAGGGTTCATGCTCTCCATGTCTGAACTAGCAAGCCTTTGTCATGATGACCGGTGATCAGGGCATTAATCACATCGAACGTGCGTATTGAGAAAGAAATTATGCTTGTGAATAGCCAACCATTCGTTTCTGGATGAGCTAGCGCTGATGATACATGCACGCAGACCGCCACGACTCCCAACTCATTTGCTTTGGCTCGGCTGCTGGATAAGTGACATAAGCGCACAGCCTTGGCGGATGCACCGGCCCGTTATTTTGACTTCTGTCTTTAAGAGGGGGAAAATCCCACAAACTTGAGCCTCGACATGCGAAGCTTTTTGTCTGGAAAGTCGACATCATGGAACTAGTAATGGCTGATCAGTCAGTACCCGCTCGGGCTGACGTCCTGACGACTCTCGATTATGGGCAGCTTCGGACATCTGCGCTCATTGGCGCTGCGGGCATTGCTATCCTCATGCTTTTGAGTTCCATCATCACCATCAAACCCGAACAAGATGAACCTCCCCTGTTCAAGCCGATGATACCGCTTGTCGGCCACATTATTAACATGGTCCGACACGGGACAATGTTGCTTTCTCGCTACAGAAAACGCAACCTCCCAGCAGCCACGCTGCCCATGCTGAACGGCAAAATGTATGTAATCTGGGATGCATCCCTCGTTCAGGCACTCTTCCGTAAAAAGAGCTTCACCCTCGAACATTTCGCCGCCAAGTTCTCAGGCAACGTCGCCGGCCTAAACAGCTCTACTCGCAACATATTCCTCACGACGCCCCTCGTGAAGGAAATGCTGGAACTCTTCAGCAAGCACCTCCTCAAAGGCAAAACCCTCCAAAGAGCCCAGATTGCCGCCGTCTGTTCCATCGAGGACAGCCTCCGCGGCGAGTTTACTAGCCTCAAGAACGGAGAGTGGCTCGAGATCTCCTCCATTTATACCTGGCTGCGCGACATCACAACCCTCGCTGCAAGCCGTGCCTTCTGGGGTCCGCAGAACCCATTAGACGGCGACCACACGCTTCTCGAGGACTTTTGGCGCTTTGAAGATAAGCTCCTCATCATGGCGCTGGATCTGTACCCCCGCTTCACGGCGCGCAAGGCCTACGACGCCCGCGCGCGCGTGCAGGCCGCCTTTGGCCGGTTCCACGCAGCCGGTCTCGTCGACAGCGATGGCGTGTCGGAACTCATCCGCGAGCGGGCGCGGCTGATTCGATCGTACGGCGTGGCGAGCGAGGAGATTGGGAAGATGGAGACGAGCATCCTCGCCGTCGCGCTGAGCAACACGGCACCGACGCTGTTCTGGCTCCTGTCCTCCATCCTCAGCACGCCGGGGCTGGCGGAACGGGTGCGCGGGGAGCTTGAGAGCGCCGTGCGGTGGACCGGTGACCAGGCGGTGCTAAGTGTGTCGTCATGGGAACGATGCCCGCTGCTGGTGAGCTGTTATCACGAGACGTTGAGGCTGATGAGTAGGACGACAGTGACGAGGCGCAGCGACGAAGATGCCATACTTATTGGCGCTGATGGGCGCGAGTACATGATTAGAGCCGGCGTCGACGTGCAAGCGTCTGCGACTGCGTTGCATACGGACCCTCGCATCTGGGGATCGGATGTCCATGACTTCGATCCTGACCGATTCCTTCCATTTGCGAAGGATACGATCTCGCAACACGTGCGGCAGAAGAAGGCGGCATTCATACCGTTTGGGGGCGGACGGCACATGTGTCCGGGACGAAACCTTGCTTTCGCTCAGGTCGTGACCTTTGCCGCTGTGCTCTTACTTGGGTATGATGTTGAGCCGGGCAAAGGATCGCGAGAAGGCACTCACAGCGACGCAAAAGTCTGGAAGAAGCCGCCACGGATGACACGAGGGTCAATGGCGGAAGCCATTTGCCAAGCCGGTCAATAAGGGAGAGGGCTATGGTGCGAGGCTCAGACCGAAAGCCGGCTGGGAAAAGGTGCGGTGGCATTTCGACACCTAACACATAAATTTTGCGCGATGGGAATTCATCTGAACACAAAGACGGTCATTATGACAGGTTAACAAACTACGGACTATGTCACATCTTTCTTGAAACAAAATCGCAGACTTTCTCCCAGGTGTCTCTCGCATCCTCTTCTCGCCACCTCGCGTCTCCTTCCTTCCCGTGTGTGTATGCATGAGCCGCCTCCGGATACATCTTGACAACTGACTCGATACCCGCGCCCCTGAACTGCTCCGCATACTCAATGGCTTCTTGACCCAGGGCATCGAGTCCTGCGACGAACGTCAGCATCGGCGCCAAGGTCGGCCGTAGCTCACGCAACAGCTGAAGGTCCGCCCGCATTGGTGCCACGAAGATCTGCCGTCCATCGACATGTGGCGGTACGTACGCCGCCTCCATCTTCTCAAGCATGACGACAGGGATACTCTTGGCCTGGGCCTCGGGGCTTGCGCGCGCGAAGCGTTCTCCGTACCGCTCGTGAAGGGCAAGGCAGGGATAGACCAGGACTTGGGCGACCTGCCGAAAGTGAGGGTCCAGCGCTGCGCGGAATGGGGCGGCCGGCCCGGCTGTGAAGGCGACGAGGAGGGAGAGCGAGGTCGCGAGGTTGCCGCCGGCTGAACAGCCAACGACGGTGACACGAGATGGGTCCGCTGCGACGCCCAGTGTCCGCTCGGCCGCTGGCGAGATTGACCACTTCAGCACGTCGTATGCTTGGAGGAGGGCGTGGGGAAAGGGGTAGCGGGGAGCTTTGGCGTAGTCGAGTGAGACGACTATTGCGTTGAGCTTGGGAAGTTATTACCACACTGCTCATCTGCTTCAAGAGCTGAAGCCGGAGACGGGGCTTACTTTGTCAGACATGAATTTGGCATTCGCTTCGCCGTCACTCGGCTGGCCGAGAGCGAAGCCACCGCCCTCGAGAAGAATGATCAGGGATAGAGGCGCCGGAAACTCCGGGGTTCGTACAGGGGCTTTTGGCAAGCAGACGGAACATTTGACGTGGCCCTCTCCCAATCCTGGCGTGTCGACGGTTACTCTATTGTCGAATAAATGCCCATCACTGGACTGCCTGGCGATAGACTCGCGCAGTGCAGAAAGCTCCGTCTCAAGTTGAATCGCGAATGCTTCGGGATATCCGGGGCCTGAGGTCACCCTTGGAGGCTGGATATCGTCCTGCTTCATTTTGATGGGGCCCAAAGTGAAGGAATCTCCTGGGTACGATGGTTACTCTGTGCCTCTAGGTTATAACTTCGATATGACTGCATGAGAATGGTCAATAGCGACATGCGAGGAATGAGTGAGGGTAGTAGGCCAAGATATAGCCCGAAGGCCAGAGTCATGAAGCTTGCGAGTGTCAGCGTCCTGTTACTTCATCCATATGGGTATTCGTTCCGCACACAGCATAGCTGACCGGCAATTCAATTGGACTACTTCGTCTATACTGAGCAGTATATGCACCTTATTCGGCTGAAGCTGACGCGAGCAAACGAGCATCCTATCAGATGGCGTTCCTCATGTCGTTACGAGGGTGCTGATCGGATTGGCCAATCGACTCGGAGACGGACGTTGATCATGCCCGAGAGCTGCAACGAGTGAAAGTTCACAGATTGCCAGAGACTGAGAGCAATCGGACAATGTTGAACCCAGGTGAGGCAAGGGCGTTGTGCCGGAACGAAGCCGTGCTCAGCCAGAGTCCCCGTCGACCCATCATCAACCGGGGAATCGAACCCCGCCAGTTCCGCTTCACAGCATCATCGGCCGAGAGTCAAAGACACCGCGCCGCTCGTTTCAACACCTGCGCGCATTTGCAGATGGGTTTGAATGCCAAAAAGAAAAGTCTAGTTCTTGGCTTGTGCGTCTTCATAAGTCGTACGTGTACATTGGTGGCGTCAGCACCCCGAAAAGAAAAATGAGCAGGAAAAATACGAAACACCCCTTACGCCCTGTCGACTGAGCGCCGCTGTCGGCCATTCCGTGCCCCTGAACCACTGCCACGAGAGCCTGTCAATTACGGCCTGTCAGCCCGAACATGTCAATGGCGATGGCCTTGTTTTCTTCGGGAATCATTCCTTGGTCGAATTCTTCGAGCTATTCGCGAATGCAATCGCCATTTCACCGTTTCATAGAGCAGGGGGGCAGGACGAAGTGTGTAATGTCCTCAACAGTAGATGGTATAATATAAGTTCAACTCTGGCATAATCATAATCATTTGAACGCCCTGAAGAGCCGAGCGGCAACCAGGCAGCCGGTTCTCTCGCAGTTTTCCCGGGAAGCGAACTCTGTTCCCTCCAAAATGTCTTTTCCAAAATGTCTTTTGCATCATCTGATTTAGTCCCTCTTCCTGAGCTTGGCGCCGGCAGCCTGCAGCTTCGAAGTGATAAATTCAACTTGCTCGTCGGCACGCGCTCCGTAGGCCAAGTGAGCTGGTAGGATCGTCAGTGTGCCGGCACAGACAGCGTCGCCGGCGTTGCAAATGATATTGGTCTTCTCAGGAGGGAAGTTGGGAATCTGGCGGTTGTCCTGGGCCATGTTAGCGTACTTCAATCTCCTGGACCTGAGACGAGCATCTTACCTGGACGTTCTGGGTGTCACCAAAAGTAAAGGCGGCGACGATTTGGTCCTTCTGCGCCTGCGGAAGGTCCTCGACGGCGCGATGCGTGAGGGCAGCGCCCTGGCTATAGCCGCCGACGACGAGCATCGAGTCGGGACAGTCCGTGTTGGCCTGCGCGATGAGGCGCTCCATCTCGGCCACACCGCGACGGTCGGCGCCTCCGTTGCCAAAGTTGGTAGACAGGGCAGCGGCGTATTCGATCCCCTCAACTGCAACCTGATCGGCGCCAAAGTTGGCCTTGACGCCGTTGGCCGTGGGCGGGCCACACACAGTGCCCATGTTGCCCGTCTCGGTCGAGCCGCGGGCGAAAAGCATGATAATGGGCTTGCAGCCACCGTCAGTGAACTCGGTAGCGGTGCTGCCAACACGGCCACCGCGCTGGCGCTGTTCGATGGGGCCGGCGGCGGCGAGGGCCGCGAGGGCGAGCGTGATAATGTACTTCATGATAGCGTTGGTAAAGATGGTGATCGATTCGAGAATGTCAGGGGGTTGTAAAGATAGTGGTATGGCTCACGGAGCGATGTGAATGAGTGAAGAGAAGGGAACGAACGATAGAAGGCCTCCTGGGCTGGCGAAGATGCTGGCTTGCTGTGTTTATCTGAGGGATCGTTGCTGAGGATGCTGATGAGATGAAGGTATCGACAAAGTGTGATGGTACCAGCCGCCTTTATAGTTGTTCTTCAAAGACGGCCTCCCGAGAATCCAGAGTTGAGATGACACGCCAGAAGGGTATTCCTCTGCCGGCACTCTCATCGGACATGCGTCGTCCCATCCTCGACGGGAAGGCTGTCCAATCGCATCTCGAGCAACAACCGGATAGACGAAGCATCGACGTCGTGGGAAAGGGTACATGATCGCCAGATCCTCACAGGGCCCACAGAGCCTCCCACTTCCAGCGAACGAATGGGGCGATTCGCAGTCGCAACTCTGGCTCGATTGGGAAGACATGGTGGCTCGTGGTTCAGCACGGCCCAGACGCACGAGGTTGTGGGGACTGATGGCGGTGACGGACGCGCACAGCCGCCCCCGTGGACTCTGAACATGCCAGGGAAACAGAACCAGGACTTCGGGTAAGAGGCAGGGTTCGTCGATGTGTTCGAGCTGAAGCTGTATCGTTTAAAGCGCGTGTATGTCCAGTTGAGGCAAGTGTCTGTAAGAAAATGAACTTGGCGAAAGCAGGCAGTCTCATGTTGAACACACTTCAATGGGTTGGCGGAAAACAGCTCGCTCGATGGGGGATAGGGTAAGCCGGAACGTCACGGGGAGGTATTATGTCGGTCGTCCCATCGCGAATTGCGCATGCTGAGGAACACTGCATCACTCGATGACCTGCGTCAATTGGTTGATAAGAGCTTGATCGTATGCCCAAACTACGTGGGAATCGAGCTATTCGCTGCATGACTGCCAATTGTTATCATTCCCCGTGCTCCTTGATGTTCGCAGACTTTCGAGTTGCACAGACTTTGCTTTCAACAATAACGGCATAGCTGGTCTGTTGTGCTCCGTAGAGAGCAGGGCGACTTCGCCGTATAGCCGTGATGTCCAGATGGGCGATCCAAAAGGAGGGACGGGTCGTGGAGCTTTCCTCTTCTGGTAGTATCGCTGCACTCCACATCCAGATTGGGAGTCAAAGAGTGTCAGTGTTGGTCGAATTCGGTAACTTTCATGAAGAGTTCCTCCTTCTGCCTCGGCATGCTCAGTGTGCGCCTAAGTCTGGTGCTGAAACGCGACGAGCAGTGTTCGAAACGATGGTGTGTGGTCCGAGTGGCTTCCAGTCAAAGAAACAATGCTTCGAAGGCAAGAAAAGAAAGGGTTGACATGCAAGACCTTGCTCCAGATTGACGAATGCCCATACTGACAAGCAAGTTACTTCCATGAGAGGCTGTCGTGCCACCCTCGACTGCGCACACCGTCGGAGGCCAAGCCACAGGGCGGGGTCAACGGCCGAGGGCAGGACGCTTTCGGGTAGGAGTGCGAGTCGGGCGACAGGTCATGTTGAGACGGTGTGAGCGCCATGGGCAGCATGCCATCGAATGTTGCTCGCAAGGTGCGGCCCGAATGGGGACGTCGATTCCAGGAAGTACCATGCCGTACTGGCTGACTTTGAGCCACGCGTCAAGCGATCGAAACGGCCAAGTGAAGCAGTAGACGACACATTCCTCGCAAACAGGATGCACCGAGGATGGGGCCTGGTATGATCGCTTAACGTTGATGATTGAACAAGGGGGATAAAGCCATTGGTAGGTAGCTACGTATCGTGATCGTGATGGTGTTGAGGGGTAGCAAGGTAGTGAGGACCGGCGTGCTGGATGACTGCTGACATAATGCAGCCGGCACGCCGATGTGTGGATCGCTACACTCTTTGGGGTCGTCACTATTCTAAAATACAGAAGAAAGCCTGGGTGTTACCCCCTACAGGCACCTAGCGTACGGTACAGTGGGCTCTCAGTCGCAGGGTCAGAAGGGGCTAGCGCTTGCAGCTACGCCCCGATGCGCTGACGTCAGGCTTCGATGCGCCGTAGCGCCCGGCGGACCCTGATCCACGGGCGCTCCACCTTGGCCGGCAAAACTCTGGGGCGACTCGAAGCCAGGCAGGCCAGGGACTCGTGCCTGTGCTCCAGGCAGCCTCCAGGCCCGCTCCAAAGCCCGTTTCCATGGTGCATGGTGGGGGGGAAATCATGTGGTGGAGCACAGCCTTGTGACGACGCTCAACCAAGCTCAGCTTCAGGACAACAACCAACTCACCACATAGCAATACCCACCCTTCACAGCCCAAACTCTCCCACAACCCAGCCGCCAGTGGCGGAGTCAGATATGCCCGACGAACAAGGCTCGGGGAAGCCATCTTCGGACGCACCTGAGAAGGTCCAAGCCCTCGACGACCTCATCGACCTCACCGACAAGACAGAGCCAACAGCGTCAGCATCTGTAGCTGCCGACGCCAGCAAACCGAGTAGCCCCAGCAACCACAGCAAAGATGCCGAGGCCACTGTCTCTCGCGCACATGTTGTGACAGAGGCAGACCCAGACGGAGAGGCTTCTGCCTCCGCGGACCTTATGAATGCTTCCGTGGCAACCATCAAGCCGTCGAAACCCCTCCCCGCCGACACCTCGACCCAGTTCCTCACGATCGAGACCAAAGCCTACGTTGATCCTACGCCACCTACCCCGACAGCCTCACGCCCTCCTTCAAGAACACCGTCCAGTGTAGGATCCCGACAAGATGCGTCTCCCACGAGATCTGATGCTGCCTATGACGATCGGAGGTATACGAGCGATGATGACCAGGAGAACGGCTCGCGCTCCGAGATTCAGAGCATCATGGAGCAGTTCACCGGCGATGGAGGTGGCCCGGGAGCTGAGGAAGTCATGAGTCCAAGACTCGAGATTACATCGCCCATTCTCGGCGGCCCGATTCAACATCCACCAAGAAAGTCGAGCCTCGAGCCTCTGTCAACCTCCTTCTCGGCCCAGTCGCTGGAGAAGGAGACCTTGGGCGCAGCCATACCTTCGTCACCCGTGAGCACAAGATCCCGGACCAGGTCCTCGGTGGATTTCGGTCCTCCAGTGCCCCCGAAGGACGGCCTTCCCGGCGCCGAGGACAGCCAAACTTCTCTCGATACTCCCATGTCGCCCTCGGCCATGCACCGGCCCCCACCACCCGAACCCGAACCAGAGCCGACCCTACCTTTTGACTTTCACCGTTTCCTCGAGCAGCTGCGCAACAAGAAAGCCGACCCTGTCGCGCGCTATCTCAAATCTTTTCTATCCGAATTCGGCAAGCGGCAGTGGATGGTTCACGAACAAGTCAAGATTATCGGCGACTTCCTCGCCTTCATAGCCAACAAAATGGCGCAGTGCGAGGTCTGGCGCGATGTTTCGGACGCCGAGTTTGACAACGCGCGAGAGGGCATGGAGAAGCTTGTCATGAATAGGCTGTACACCCAGACGTTCTCGCCGGCCATCCCCGCGCCGCAGCCTATTCCTGGGGCCAAACCCAAGAGGAGAGGCGGCGAGCGGCCCATGGGACCGGGGCGTAAGGGCCAGCACCAAGAGGATGTCGAGAGGGATGATATCCTGACACAGAAGATCAATATTTACGGTTGGATTCGGGAAGCCCATCTCGATATTCCACCAACGAGCGAGAGCGGGAAGCGGTTCCTTAAGTTAGCACAGCAGGGTATGCGGCTGTGGATTCTTTCTCGTACACGGCAGGCGCTAATCACGACACACAGAACTCTTCAAAATCAGGTCTTATCGCGCGCCGAGGGACAAGATCATCTGCGTGTTGAATTGCTGCAAGGTCATTTTTGGTAGGTGCAGTCCCCATCATAGTTCCGAAAGCCTCTAACACCCGCCAGGTCTGCTCAAGCACGCAAAGTCAGATGGATCAGCAGACTCGTTCATGCCATTCCTTATATACGTAGTGCTCCAATCCAACCCTGAACATCTTGTGTCGAATGTGCAGTACATTCTTCGATTCAGGAATCAGGAGAAACTGGGTGGCGAGGCCGGATACTACCTGTCTTCTCTGGTACGTATTCGTGGGCATATGCTCCAACCTTCACTAACACGCGCAGATGGGCGCTATTCAATTCATTGAGAACATGGACAAGACCAGCCTTACGATTACCGACGACGAATTCGAGAAGAACGTCGAGGCCGCCGTCTCAGCCATCGCAGAGAAGCACAACGCTGCATCGCCGGTGGAACCACAGCTCTCTGAGAAAATACCTCAAAGCCTACTGGCCCAGACACAAGGCGAACCCTCGACCCGGCCCGACCACGATGTCAACAACGGAGACTTGTCCACGCCTCGCCGCTCCACATCGTCAGATGGCGACTACTCTGACGGCCAGGCCCCCATCACGAGCCTACTCCAGACAATCCAGCGGCCGCTCAGTACCATCGGACGCATGTTCTCTGAAGATCCCACCGGATCGGAATCCGGTGCCAGCGCCGCGGCGCGCGCGCCGCAGCCTCTTGACCCAAACCGGTTATCACCACGGCCCAGTGGCGAGGAGGCACGCGAGGCCGGAGGACGGCCGGACCCACGCAACCACCCGCAGCTGTCGGTGGAGGAGGCGGCAGCGAGGCAAGCGAGCGCCGAGACGGCCGAGGCGCAGAGGTTGCACCGGGCGGAGCACCACAATGTCGTTGAGACACTTGCCGGCATGTTTCCGGACCTCGACAGGGACATTATCTCGGATGTCGTGGTGCAGAAGCAGGGGAGGGTCGGACTAGCGGTGGATGCCTGCCTTGCATTGTCCACGTAGCATTCTTTACTGGCGAGACGCGCGGCACACAGCAAAGTGGATGAGAGCCAAGGGTTCACTTGAATGACCAG